TGCGGCGCAGACATGCTAGACGCCGCCACAATATCCCGATCCCTTTTATACTGGCCCGCCGTCCGCTCATTCCCACCAGACATGAAGATAAAAACGGGCTGAGCGTCCTGTGCGTTGATTCAAAGTCTTTTAATGGCACTGGAGCTGGAATCGCGCCGAATTGCAAAGTATTATATTACACGGGTTTTCAATTACCTTACATTTATTAGAATTTTTTGTCTTTACATTTTGTTTAGATCTACAATAGTTCCTCTCCGATTCTAGCTTCTTCATCTTCACAATCTTCGATACGGACTTTGCAGCATTAGCAACACTTCGAATGTTATCCGTATCAGGAGTTTGGGTTTTGATTTCCATTCAAAAGCTCAATTACAAAGAGTTTAGCGCCGCTCGAACGGCGGTCACTATGAACGGGGACCCATCCACACTCCTGAGAGTCCCCACCCCGAGCATGTTAGGACATGGAAACTGCTATGCTTCGACAGCTGAGGGCTCGTTGTCCACGGACATGCCAAGGGCAGCTGAGTGTACGTTGTGTCTTTGGACACGGAATGCTTACCAATGAATTCCTTAAGTAACGCGAGCGCATCAGTGAACTGCGCCATTACCTGCCCCTTCGGACCCGATAAGTATTAAGGATGAGCATCACTGTAAGTAGATTAATAAATGGCAAAGGAAGTGAAATGGTGGTATACAGGGGGCCAAAAAAAAGTCATTTTGCCTCCATGACTTTCAAGGCGCTATAAGTTACACTTTATTAAATTTTTATCGGACATTTTTACTACCATATTAAAGAGCACATTAAATACTATAACGATACTCCGTCACAGCCTTCTGGAGGAGCGCCATCGAGAGATTCGGCCGCGCGAAAGTGAGTGGGTACCGGAGTTGAGCGAGATCGTTGATTTCTCCGCCACTGTAGACCACCCTGTTGAGCTCCGCCCGAACCGAGTAATTGAGGGGGTTTAGTTCAGGACCCCCGCTTAAATACTCCATCTTTTCCAGGTACTCAACGTTCTTCCATTCCAAGTAGGCGAAAGTTTTTCCAACGCCCTTCGATTAAATGTGTTGTCACCCAATCCTGTAGCAGTACAAAGTTTCCAAGAAGGTACGGGCGACGACATGAAGATGGATATTCTCCTCGAGTTGCTCGATGTAGCCACCAGCGCACACCCTCAGTCTGGGGCCCACGAAGAAAATATCGCGGTCATCATTCAGGTCGGCTGGTCCACACCCATCAACCGCGCCTTGTCCGTGATGGAGTCTTCCTGTGAAGATGATATCCTGACCGAGCGGACGTTGCAGAGCTGCTCGATGTTGAGGTCTTGCAGATCAAGAGTACTGGTCTCCAGGTAGCTATCCATGGGTGATTCCATTCAAGAAGTTCCGCAGCTGTTTGGAGGCCACGTGAATTCCAAAGGCGTTCTCCACTCAGGCCGCGACTGGAGATGACTTCATATTTTGGTGTACATGAAGGTGAATGGCGGCAGCCGGCTCCTGCTTATAGAGGAAGATCTTGGGTATCTTCCGCCCTGGTACTCATATCCACTTCCTCTGTCTGGGCTGCGAAAACTTCGCTCATATGTGACTCGGATGACTTTTTTTTGGCCCCCCTGTACATAACGACGCATATACCATTGGCCACTTTACGAAGGTAAATACATCCTGAAGTCAAGTAAGGACCAAGCTACGCGAATGGACACAAAATAAGAAAGCGGACGGAGAGTCAGTTTGGCGATGAGGGCGGCGCCCTTAGGAGGAGGAGAAGGAGAGGTAAATGCTGCAGCAGTCCTCAACCCGTGCAGTGAGACGTCTCCTCAGTCCGGCTGACTGTCGCTCCGCCCTGAATAGGCATGCACGCTACCCACACCTTACACTTAGACTCAATCCCAGCGAGAGCAATTAATGATGCCTATTGTAATAAAAAAGGGTCTTTTATTACGATCTTTCAAAGCATGTACATTTACCATCTGTCCATTATGTTATAAAAAGAAGGAATATGCGCGGCAAGTCGCCAGCCGACAGAAGGAGAAGTGCCACCGATTCCGATTGTTGGTATATAAACCTGCATTACAATAGAACACTGCTTTTACTTCTGCTGCACAGCATAACTCTTTATGGCCACAAAAGACCGTTCTGGGAACACCAACAGGCAAAACGTGTCCCTCCTTACGTCCTGCTTTACCAGAAATGCTAGCTACACCCTCAATCATCTGATCTTGCTAAGGATGCCTTCCAATGTTCTGTCGACTTTCTTCGTTACTACGTAAGCTAGCATTCACAGTCTAAGTGAATCCGAACGCTTGTGAAATGTGGTTGTGAAAACTCTTGCGCAGTGTTTTGATTTTGTCCATAGAAATAATTCCGACAACTGAGAAGTAGGATCTCTTAAAAACCGATCAAATGGATGCCAGTAATCAGTAATAAACCAGTAATTGTTGCAGGTACGTAGTCATAGCATTAGTCATTAAAAGCGATCCCAATCCCATTCCTCGTTGTTGGGGCGCTACCATACCAAGGAGGACATATTACAGTGTCTATGAAATGCAGCTTAATCTCCTTGGAAGGTTGCCAATGTTCTTTAGCTAACGAAAGAGTCGCAGAGCTACAGGTAGCTGTAGGGGTAGTGCGCTTATCCAGCTTGGTAGAAGTGTAGTAACAAATATTCTAAATAATATTTTTAGGTTGTCCTATCGCAGCCATCCTATTTCGCATGGTTGAACTCACTTATGGCCACTACCGAACTCTCGGGTAGCAAAGTCAAGGAAACGATTGTGAACTATATGATAACGCAACTTATATTTGTGAGTTGACAGTATTGTCCCGACTCTCAAATACCAAAACGTCGTCAAGATTATACGCTAATGATTGTCAAGCTTGCAGGAAGATGCTCAGTTTCTCGTACCTCAAATGGCGAAACTTGCCGTGGAAGCCAATTACATTCCTTACGCTCAAAGACGAGGACGTGGAGTCAGGAGGCACGTGATCTTGAGAGAGATAGCTTCTAGCTGACTCATATAGTGAAAAGGCGATTTACAGAATTGGTCAGCAGCTTTCGCGAAGGTTCGATGGTGGAGACTATGCTACATTCGGTTGCGTAGAGACCATATTGAATCTCATGCCGTATGGACCAGGTATTCTTCGAATTTGCCTTTTTCATCCTTCCAATAATACTTTTGGTGAGTGCTTCACGATCCCTCCATCATCTTTGGTGAGAGTGAAGACCCAACGCGTTCTGCCTCACGTCATTTTTACAAAGATAATTTTCAGGCACGCGCCGCATTAAAAAGAGTGAGTTGCCCGCTTCGATAACTGAAAGATGGCAAATGACATAAAAGCGAGGGGAAAAACGGAAAAACTCGTTTATAATGCCCCATATAACCCCACGCTGAAGCACGTTTGTACGTGCATAGAGCGGAAGCGTTGAATAGAGCGAGGAGAGGAAGCCGACCGATTTTTCTCATATGGGTGTTCAACTTTATCAACCTACTATCAGCATTCAAAGGGCGAGAGCTAGCAGAAGCCAAATTTGGCACAATCATGAAAGCCTTAAAAGAACGTTGGGCTTACTGCGGCCAGTGGGGAGCCATGCCTTCTCTCGAGCGGCTCGCGTTTTCTCATGTATTTAATTGCCTGCCAAAGTAAAAGCCCGCTCCACCATGCTTGCAGACAGGACTACCCTAAAGGAGATGTCGGCGGCGCATCGCTGTTGGGGAATCGTATTCGCGCCGTCAGGAGCGAAGGGGGGGGGGGGGTCGCATTGTCTCCGCGAATTTTCCTGCTTCACATCGTGCTATTCAACCCCTTGCCCCCCATCTGGGTCCCAGAATCGTTCAGCAAAGTGAGAGGTCAGATTTGGAATTCGTTTACGTACTAGTAGTGATCTCATCTCGAATGGCCATGGCAAGCTGGAATCCTTTCTTAGTTGAATAGACAGTAACCTGCACATCTCAATAGAACCGCTGATGCATTGATGCAGATGATCATATCTGTTCAGGTTACGTTTATGCCAAGTCGCTGTCAAACAGAGACGAACTTGCAAAAGATACCAAAGATCAAATTAATCTCATCACTAGCAGCTTCGTGGTAAGAAGGTTGCATTGGTTGTTTGGTCTTTGTTCATTGAGTTAAAGCTGCGCTCATACTTTACGGCAGGCGCCAAGCCAACGACACACAGCGTCAACCAGCGTTACGAGGGTTCGGCCAGCTCAACGACTAGGAACTATAGATATCGATCTAGCGTCTGCCAGCGTCTACCAGCGCCCTGCAGCGTGTACCAGCTGCTCTTGGATTAGAAAAGTACAGGTATCGATCCAGCGTCTGCTAGCGTCTACCAGCGTGCGCCAGCGTTCACCAGCGGCAGGGAGTAGAGAGTATGGGGAAAAATCCAACGTCGTGAATCATGGGCATGTGCAACTACGTAGTGCAACTACAATACGACGTGCATTCAATTGCATAGTTCTGTGCTTTAGACACATGCCATGATTTCACGAAGCACCCACTTCCCCATACTGTCCGGCCGCTGCTAAACACCGGTGCACGCTGGTAGACGCTGCAGACGTTAGATTAATACCTGCTCTTGCTAGCCCTCGAGACGGGTGTTCGACACATTGCTGTAGCTTTGCCTGTGTTAGACGCTTAGCGTACACGCTGGAGACGTTGGACACCTCGCCGCGGCTAGTAAAAGCTACGAACGCAGTCTGACTGCGGTGAGGGAACAATTTTCGTTCAAAGGAGTGATATTTTTTCCAGGATATGACAATGTCTCTGGATTGGATGTCAATGATTTCTAAGAGGAAAGTGCGAAGCAAAGGTAAGGCAACGCATATATGTAGGCAACAGTCAGTCCTGGCGGTGCCATGAGCAGGCGCCGCTGTCGTTTGATGATCACAACGGCGCGAGGGGGTCGTATTTGACCGCGAGGGAGGGGGGTCGTACTTGGCCGTTGTTGAGAGAGGGGCTGCCAAAGATCTATACAACTACTATTTCCGATAGTTGAGAATGATAGTAAAATCCTGACGACCTCCCCCACCTCCCCCCCCGCTCGAACTGAAAAATTCTAGGCCGAAAAACAGGGATATTTCGAAGAAAAATGCGAGGAAAGAAAAGTATTAGGTAGCAGTGGGGGAGGGGGTCGTATTCGAAAATAGAATAAGGGGAGTCGTACTTTTTTTAGAAAATGACCACAACCGATGGCGTGCCCTTGGTCATCAGGTGTGGAAATGACCCCCTATCAGCTATATGAACTCTTCGGAAACGGCGCCTTAGAACAGATGGAATCAAGTCAGACAGCGATGGAAGTGATCCGAGTTCTGTAGACCTAGTCCCACGCCTTTTCTTCTCTCCACCTTTAAATGGAACTGGGAGCCGCTGCGTTTTTCTGTCTGCATTTGAGCCTGGGGTTAGATAATCTTATGTAATCATGTATCTATTCAAATAGTTTTTGATTCTATTTAGTTATTCTGCACCCAACAACTGCGCTTCGGTGACTCAACTAAGCGTAAGTGCAACAATAAGATGCGGCGTTCGTTTGCTGACTAATTTGAGCAGGATGGAACTGAGAAAAGAGAAAACAGAAAACTGGAGAATGTGGAGTGGTAGTGCGGACTCAGTTTACATTCGGAAGTGGGAACGGAAACGCTTCAACGATAATCCGCTGTCGCCTAACTTGTCTTTATCTGCGAAGAACACTCGTCCATTAAGCTTTTCACTGATATGCATGTTTTCGTTTGAAGAACTCGTAAGCATAGGCTGCTAATGGCCTGAAACAATTCTTTCAGCCAGCATATCGAACGTGCAGGCTAGAAAGCGTACGATTCCCTCAAGGAAACTTTGTATCGAGGGATCACCGCTGAGGCTCAAATTGTTCTGAAGCTGGTGGACTTTCAGCTCCCCATGATGATCTCTCTCACTTGCGTTTAGTTTGGTGGTGTTCTAAGCTCTCAGATTTTCTCCTACTGGCGCATCTTCTCTGTCATTGGTTTGACCGATGTACAGGGGGGGCAATAAAAAAGGACACTTTTCTTCCTTGACTTTCAAGGCGCTATAAGTTACACTATCAAATTCTGATGGACATTTCCACCACCATATTCAACAGCACATTGTACACTATCACGATACTCCGCCACAGCCTTCTGGACGAGCGCCATCGAGAGATTCTGCCACGCGACCGTGATTCGGTGCCTGAGTTCAGCGAGGTCGTTGATTCGTTGATTTCTCCGCCACTGTGGACCACCCTGTTGAGCTCCTCCAGGACCCGGTAATTGAGGAAGCTTAGGGCAGGTGGCACACTTGGATATTCCGTCTTCTTCAGGTTCTCAACTCCCTTCGATTCCAAGGAGGCAAGAGTTATTCCAACACCCTTTGATTCCGTTTGTAGGCACCCAATCCTGTATCAGTACGAAGTCTCCAAGAAGGTAGAGGAGATACACGAAGGCAGGATATTCTCCTCGAGTTGGTCGATGTAACCGTCAGCGCTCACCTTCAGTCCGGGGTCCACGAAGAAAATATCGGTCTTCCCATTCCAGGAACTTCCGGTCCATACCATCAACCCGCGCCTTGGCGACTGCGGTGAAGATGATATCCTAGACCGTAGCGACGTTGTCGGAGCTGCTCGATGTTGGAGGTCTTCCAGATCAAGAGTGCTGGTCTCCAGGTAGCTGTCCATGGGTGACTCCATACAAGAAGTTTCGCAGCTGTTTGGAGGTGACATGAATTCCATAAGCCTTTGGAGATGACTTCATATTTGGTGTACATGAAGGTGATGTAAGAGGGGCTGCTTCCTGCTTATCGAGGAACATCTTGGGTATCTTCCGCCCTGGTACTCGTATCCACGTCTTCTATCTGGGCTGCGAAACTTTACTGATATGTGACTCGGCCAAAGTGTCTTTTTTTTGCCCTCCCCTCTCCCCCCTGTAAATCCTTATACGAGGGGTGCTCACTGTATTCTCGGTATACGTAGGTAAGAAGGAAAAGGCAGAAAATGCTGAATGAAATTTATTTCCCAGTAGTCTCCCATGAGGCGGAGGTGGTGTAGTGACAAGTGGCGCGCTTACCACTCGCCGGGTTCGAATCCCGGGTCGACACCCGCCCAGGCCAACCAAGCCTTCTACCCTCCGGGGACGGTAATTGGTACCAGATTCGTCTGGGAGGATAAAACACTGACTTGTACATCGGCTGGCCACCGCAAGTCATTGTATAGGCCACATCGCATTCAATAAGCCACTACGATTCTGAATGGAAGTAGAATGCGTGCCGCATCCCACAAAGGGATTGATCAACGGCGAAGACTTTATCCTTTTTATCCTTAGTCTCCCATAACCTCAATACTTTTGTTCTCTTGGGAAACTAACCTTTCAACACCCTCTCAAATAAATTTTTTTCGTTGTCTCGAAAATGTGCATTAGTTGCCGCCCTCTGCTCTTCACCGTCAGAAAAACGCTTTCCACGAAGATCTTTTTCAGGTTGGGGAACAAGAAGTAATCACTAATCATTTTCTCATTTTCTTTTCATTTTCTCAATTTTCTTTTCATTTTTCTCAATTTTTTTAAACAGTAATCATTTTCTCAACATTGTCGCATCAGTCATTCTGGTCTTCTTTCACCAAGGATAAATAGAATAGCTTTGAAGACAGCTAAATTAAATTTTGTATTTACCCTCACAGGGGGTGTCTCTACCTACTGAAATGATTCAAGTTCCTTCGTCACTGCGTCACTGCTAAATTATTCCGATACCGAAAATACAACGATGCTTACGCAGTTTCCCGTCTTCAGACAAAACTTCAACGAAAAAAAAACACCGTTGAACCACCTCATGGCTATAGAAAGTCACCCACCCAGAATTACAGTCATTCGCGGGATTTCAATCTCTTTTTGGTTTCTATCCTGACTCCCCTCCATGGCGTCTTCACAATAAATTTCAACCGAGGATAAGAATTTCGTACGCACCTGAACAGCTTTGAAATCAAGTTTCCCTCAGGGTAACGATTTCAGTAAACGAAATGGTCATCAACATCGGTTGGCCTTCCAAGTTATTTGGAGATTTCACAAGCACCAGTGTGCTAGATGATTACCACAAAGTAAGTTTATAAATTTAAACAAGCTTATAGTTCACGAATAAACCTCGTCATACTTTCAGAAAGAATACGGCCCTATTATACAAGCATATAATAAAGACCCTACTGACTTCTACACTATAAAGCACATTTTACAAGCAGGGCTGGTAAATCGTGAAGCTGTTCATTTACTCCCCCAGCCAGCAGACAGGTGCGAATCTCTTATGGTTGTAACACAATAGTATTCATCTGTGTTAAGGACAAACTTCCTTGTCTCGCCAGCTATGGTTAACGCTTGGTATCAGCCAGAGAGAAACTCACTCACCATCCCAAGTGCTCTTTGGAACCCACCTTTTTACAGGTAACAGGAGAAAGATGGTTCACCATTCCATTAATTCATCAAGTATGTTGAGGGACAATGGAACACATCTCTATGTTGCTTACTGCTCGCATTTGTTCGTCAGCTTTTCTGCTTTCTCCCAGCTGTAACGCATTACTACAAGCCAGGGCACGCCATCGCGTTGTGATCATTTCCTGAAAAATACGACCCCCTAATTCCATCCTCAAGTACGACCCCCCTCCCCATGCTACCTACCACTTTCCTAGATTTTCCCAACTTCCTACCACTTTTTCCATTTTTCCCGAAAATTTCCAGTTTTTCAGCCAAGAATTTTCCGTCGAGCGGCGGGAGGGGGGGGCCGGCGGCATATACCGAAATGAACAGGAAAATCTCTTCAGATCTCCCGCAGTTTTTGTCCGAAGTAGTTGTAGTAGTTGTATAGATCTTTGGCAGTCCCTCTCCCAACAACGATCAAATACGACCTCCCCCCTCTCCTTCGCGGTCAAATACGACATCCCCCCGTTGTGATCATCAAAACAATGGCGTGCCCTGCTCAGTGCTACAGTACCATGCCCCTTTTTCTTGCTTAATCTTGATATTTCACGTTTTTTTTCTTCGCTTTCTATTTCTATGTACTTCACTTGAAAATTTCCCTTTTTGACTTCGACATTCAATCTCGATGTACTATTCGCATTTACTGTGCCGTCATGCATAATACGCCTTAAGGCTGTTGGCACGATAACACGCCATCGAATGCTTCTGGAGGATAGAATTCCAGCGACCCTGGCGCAGGGTTGCTGTATTGGCGGTTCCCTTGAAGAAGGTATCAAGCCACAACGTTACGTCCCAAACCCGCCACGCCGGCCCGCCCACAAATGGACGACCGTTCCTGACGCTCGTATTCATTCATTTGCTAAGCAAATATAAACTAAGGTTTGTAGAACAGGCCCTGATGCTGCCGCATGCATACTGGTACACAAAATGCAGCCGTATCTTCGGTGGAGGTGAGTGGTAAGATGCCTACGGGAAACTCGTCCGAAACCGATCTACAAGGCACTGAGAACGGAGGCTTTTTCCTCACTTTATTTTAACGCCTCACTCCGTTCTTTCCCATTTCCCCACTATACAGCGCCCCAAGCATTTTAGGACTAAGCAGGAAACCATCGTGCCAACAGCCCTTTAAGCAACTCTGAGACAGAGTAAAAGTCAAAACAGTATCAAGTATCACTTACAACAGTCCATAATGCCCGATGTTAGTAGCACTTTGAACAAACTTAAATGATTAAATAGCAGTGGATCCTCTCGGATATATTCACTCGCAAAACGTTCCAGCATCTTTTGCGCTACAATATTCTGAGTATAAGACGTTTGGCTCCATGATGTGCAGTCAACAGGACGTCAAAAACAGTATCAATTATCATTATAACAGTATCCAATATCAGTCGCTACTTTGAGTTGAATTTCAAAACCCAAAAAGAGAAGCTTAGGATGAGGTATTACTGAGAAATGGAATGCAAAGGAAAAAAGTGTAAACTATTAGGGGAACACATGGGCAGAGAGGCATTGTAGCGTTGGAGCGCGCTTGTAATTGCTCAGCGCTTTAATAGCTGACGCGCTGTGACGACGCCTGAACCTTGCCTCATGGTACGACTTGTGTGAACTTGCTAAGATTCAGATGAAAATTTTTTTTCAGCCAATCTTCCCGAAGGCATTCAATTTCGCTGGTCTCGGATCAGTTGCAGGCCACGAACTTATGCACGGTTTTGATGACGAGGGTGAGCTTGAACATGTTCCTCCTCTGCATTTCCGCCAATTGAAACGTGCCTACTCATGGTGATCTACCTTAGCACTGGGTCGCACCCTCCTGATGTGGTGCTGTGACCTAGCGCTTTTGCACGCAATTTGCAAAAAAAGGCCCTTTCATAGGGGGGACGCTGGTCGAGGAAAAGTCCCCTGAAGAGCAGAGGAGCTTGAACGTGCACCGCTCGGCACATGAGCTCGGTGGTCGCCTTGTTCATAATGTACCCTTTTTTCAGAGGCGAAGCCCCCGATGAGACATCCAGGGTAATGGTGCTAAAGTAGCAATGTCAAGATGCTAAGCAAGTCGTTGGTGAAGAAATAACAGAAAAAAAATCGTCGCAAATTTCCTCGGTAGAATCTCTACCGAACGCATTTGTACGAGCAGAGGGAAAGCAAAGGGCGTGATTGGGTGAGTTGTGCTGTGGTCGACATGGTTATCGCAATTGATCCCAGCTGATTTCTTATTGGAGGAGGTGTCCCTGCCCACACACTTCGCCGACGCCTTCTGTGATTGTGGCTGAGTAGAGCGGCGTGCGGGGCCAATCCAGGTGGGAAGGGTAAGAGAATGCCTTGACGACATTCTCACTCGCTTTTGCTCCGCGAAAACAGAGCACTCGGGCTGTCTGGTTTCTCACGAAGGGTGCGAAAATGTGGAAATCGTGGTGACACTGGCTTCTGCCCTGCCGCAGATACTACGACGAGAACTCTGCCCGAGTCAGGTCCACAAACGTCAGTCAATCCAAGTCGTAGACCATGGATAGTCACGAAAGTCGAAGTTTGGACCGTGTCACTTTTGCCCGGTGGATCAGCACTGAATCGTATTACTTTGTCGTATTCTTACATTGAGAAATGATCATAGCGAACAGCTTTTCCCGTGCAGCGCATGCAGCACACCTATACTAACATGAAAAGTTTGGCTCTCTTTGTACAGAATGGTAAACAAAGGTATCGTTCAGGGATTCAATTCGACAAGTCCGGGGCAATCATATGCAGCGATTGGAATGTGTGCGGTTGGATGGACAGGAAATCGGTCAAGGGTTTCACCGATATGGCTCAATGCGTCGTTACTCAGTACAGGTGAGTCCACACATAATATGCTCAGAATGGAAAGCGACAATGAAGTAGATTGTCGGTACTGTCGTCACGGCTGCTTTTCTTACCAGTCCGCGTTTGTAAGTCTGCTCATTGCAGTCCTCACGCCCATTTAAGATTCACTCCGCTTGTGTATGCGTTTAGATGGCGAGAAGATTCGTCCTATTCTATTCAAATCAGGCTTTCTTTCTATAGGAGATGCGGTACAGGTTCCCTTGCTATTTTATTGAGCACCTAGTAGATTACCATCGGCTTCACATGCAAGGCCGGCACGAATGCGAAGTTGGATTTGCTCGAGTTTGTTGTTCTTGCATCTTGATTTTTAATTTGGGCGGCAGAGCGTGATCTTTTTCTCCTATATAGCGCGCAAGCGCGAAGGCAGCTAGCAGGGAAGGAGTCAATGCCCGAGCTACGCTGATGCAAACGGAGAGCCATCGAGCTTTATTGCATGAGCTTTAGCTTTTAGCTTAGCTTACCCAGTAGTTTAGCTTACCCATAGGAAGTACCCTCTTAAAGTACTCTGGAGAAGTTACTGTCCCTATTGTGATACTCACATTAGCGATCACACCTCCTCAGAGTGTGTGGGCAAGTTTTGAGTTCAGAAAATATGACAGCAGAACTTTTCCGCCAACCTAATACTTCGCCTTAACCTGAATTTTCACTCAAGAAGGTCTGAATTAGTACCTCTACTTGTCCTTGATTCTATCAGATGGAAGGAATCAACCTCTTTCGGTTTTGCTTTAGGGTGTTGAGGGTTCAAATGCCTCATCGAAGTCACTAATCCATCTTCTGCTGAGTAAATTGGGCATTTCTCAATGGGTACAAAAAATAAAACTAATCCAGATGAAGAGGTGTTGGGCCTTTTCGATGTGGCGAATTCATCGGTGGTAACAGCATTTTTTTCAAGAGGAAATTTTGGAGCAGTCCAAATTTGAGGTATCCTCATATTCGTGATAAATAATTAAGGGCAAGGTCTTCGCCGCTGGTCCGTCTTTTTGTGGGACGCAGCACGCATCCCTTTTCCACTCAGAATGGCTTGACGAATGCGATGTGGCCGGCGCAGTTCGGCGACGGGGAGGGCATTCTTGCACTTTCACTGCTTCACTACTTCTGGTTTACAAGTCTCACTCTGGTGAAACTTGTGAACTCTTGTGAAACTGGAGCAAGCCACCATGGAAAAGTGTGTCAACTCATGGTAAACTGCGTCAAATCAAGAAAAGGCTATCAGGATGGGGCGACACATCAATGAAAGGCAAGATGCCCCTCGTCGCCGAGTTGCGCCAATGCGGCCCATACTTTGGCTTGGGTGGCCGGGCGATGCACAAATCAGTGTTCCTTTCTTCCCAGACAGATCTGGTACCAATTTACTGTCCCAGAAGGGTACATGGCTCGGTTGGCCGGAGTCGACCCGGAATTTGAACCCAGGACCGCGCGCTTGGTAGGCATGTCACTTACCACTACACCACCCATGCCTCATATTCCTTTATCCTTCATATTTATGATGATTACGCAAGTGTATAACTGGATGATTCGTTCAGTACACAGTGTTGTCCGGAGAAGACAGGATACGTGCGTTGTGCGAATGGGGCAACGACTCAAGGTGAAAACATAGCTGATATTGGAGGTACGTCACAATGTTACTCATTACAGAACCACGAAATGAACACATCTTGAGTGTTTAATTACCAGTGGGTTATCGAGGAAGGTTCAGAGCCATTCAGTGTTGTTTCAGGCCTTGAGTCAACTTATAATGCATACGTAACATATATGAAGAATCAAAGTCAGCCTGAAAAAAGGTAGGAGACCATCTACATACAGCTTACACAGCCAGCGAGAGTTTGTTTCACCATATATTCAGACTGCCCGGTCTGGAGCAGTTCACACCCAATCAACTTTTCTGGATGTACTACGCGAACACCTGGTGCACGAGCTCCTTTTTATTCCATGATAACCACCCAGGTAGGAAAGTTATGGTACCCATTCACTAACTACAACCCTGAAATCTCGAGAAGTACTGAAACATATGCGCGTCGGTGGCTTGAAAAAAGTCTGAGAAAAACTGGAAGTGTTAATGAAATTTGTTTTGACGTCAGCGCCATCTGGCACCAAAACAGCTTCAACTTGGCACCCCGTTTTTTTTTCCTACTAAACTCGTTACTAACTTTCATCTGAAGAAGATAGACGATACTAGCGATAGTTTCGCGTCCACTTTCTCCTCCCGAAATCGATACAGCTGCAGCCACAGTTATTGGCCGAAACGCTTTCTTGCATAACATTTTTTTTATCAAACCGATCGAATCAGATTTTGAGGTGTTACGTCAATCAATGTTCTCATTAAATTGCAATATACAGGGGAGGGCAAAAAAGACACTTTTCTCCCTTGACTTCCGAAGCGGTACAAGTTACAGTTGTACCACAACACACTGTACACTATCACGACACTCAGCGCACGGGTGCCAGGCCGCTGCTGGACGAAAGGCGAAAGTCGTTTGATTTCTGGGCCACTGTAGAGCCACCCTGTTGAGCTCCGCCCAAACCCGGTAACCGAGAAGGTTTAAGCCAGGTAACACATGGATATTCCGTCTTCTTCAGGTACTCAACGCCCTTCCATTTCCAAGTAGGCGAGAGTTTTTCCAACGCCCTTCGATTCCATGTGGTGACACCCAATCCTGTAGCAGTACTAAGTTTCCAAGACGGTACAGGCAACGACATGAAGGCAGGACATCCTTTTCGAGGTGTTCGATAACAGTCAGCGTTCACTTTCAGTCCGGGGTTCACGAAGAAAATATCGGTCTCCCCATTCCAGGAACTTCCGGTCCATACCATCAACCCGCGCCTTGGCGACTGCAGTGAAGATGATAATCTGGACCGTAGCGAAGTTGCCTGAGCTGCTCAATGTTAGGTCCTCCAGATCAAGTGTGCCGGTCTCCAGGTATGTAGCTGTCCATGGGCGACTCCATACAAAATGTTTTCGCAGCTTTTCGGAGGTGACGTGAATTCCATACGCCTGCTTCAGTTCGGTGATGGCTTCATACTTTGGCGTACATGAAGGTGATGGGCAAGTGCCTGCTCCTGCTTATCGAGGAACATCTTGGGTATCTTCGCCCTGGTACTCGTATCCACGTCTTTTGTCTGGGCTGCGAAAACTTGACTGATATGTGACTCGGCAGAAGTAAGCAGTGAAAGAGCATGCAAACCAGTAAGACAGTAAATAAGAAATCCTCAACGCGGGCGGAGTCACTACCAGGCTTACCGCCGCTAACTTGCCACTGGATCTCACACGACGTTTTTCGCTACAGCACACACTACTGCTTGGATAATCATAAGTAATTGCGCTCTCTTTGATGTGTAGAAAGCTATCATAATGCTGGCATTTTTCGGGTGAACTTCCTCAACACTGTTTTTCAGGAACTAATGTATGTTTTTGCTCATAGCGACTTCTGGAAAACAAGCGGGCTTTCGCGCACTAAGGAGCAATAAAGTGTAAAATGCCGGCGTGAAGGGTTCTTTATTCGTTACCTGGAAAGCGAAATAGGATAAGTCTTGCCGCTGCGGAAAATTTGTGAGGAACGCAATTCCCCGGAAGGTTCTTTCAGTATAGGCCTCTGGGAATGGCCCCGTTTACCTTCCTCCATCCCTTATGTTATCTTCCCACATTTTCAAACTTTTCCAGAGTTTCTTTTTTTAAATCCCCTTCACGTCATCCCGAAAAGAAATTGCTGTCGAGCCGAGGGGACGTTTACTGCACTAGCGGTGCTGCGAAACAGGACAACACAGACGAAAACCACAGCAGAAATTATTTCTTCTGAAGGCCATGTGCAGCGAATGGCTCGAGGGGTCGGTTGCTGCAACTTCAGTGGTGGAGGGCTAGAAGGTGTGGACCAAACGCGCCTCTCGGCAGCTTTTGACGTTGACGCAGCAACCGCTTGCTTCCAGTAATAGCGGCCACTGACTTGAAGAGAGTTTCCGCGATAAAAGTGTCATGGATAGTTGCTGTTCAATTTATGAAACAGTAGCTGATAAATAATTCCAAAAAGGAGAAAAAAGCAAGAAGAGTTCTCAAGAACACCGCAAACAAAATTGCTCCCTGACACACTGCCTTGCGGTCCGTCAACCAATGGCTCACCAAATCGGTTTTTCCCATCTCCCAGTAGTACATATCATCATCCAATGCAAAGAGAAATACGAAAAACAACAAAAACACGAACGAAACACTCTTGACAAAAAAACATTCCCGGCGTCCGGATTTAGGGTTGCGGTAGTGTTCATCTTTTGGTGCTTCTCGAGCTTTTGCACTACGAAAATTGCGACTCGTGATTCTTAAGCTTAATGAATAATGCCTAACGCTATAACAAAAGACAACTAAGGGGTGATTCCGTCACGAGGGCATGCGCAAAGTGGAAGCGGTTCAACTGAGCGGGACAAGTTAGGACGTAAGCAACTTTCAGCGGCTTCTGTTAGCAGGCTCCGTCGCTCACTGTGGAGCTCGCGAGAGTGGACTGGATGTGATCTTCGCTCTAGATCCCACACGTAGTGGTCGATAGTGGTGCAGGACCGTGAGTCTCTTTTGGCAGATACCATGGAAGGACGACCATGTATACTTCAACGTCTCAAGAAGCCAAACACGACATCTCCTGCTCGAGCCCAACATATTATGATCACTTATTCCGGAAAATACCTATATGCAAGACTACACCAACTGTGGTAAGATAGGCGGAGTCATATTTGCGGGTTTATGACCCCGCGTGCCGGAAGGCTCCTTCTGATCATACACGAGTTCGAGTAAGATTATTAGAGCAGGATGAAGTGAGATCTTTGAGGTATCGGAGTGGCTCGCATGAAGCTCGTGATGGAGATATCGGGAGGGGAGACCAGGCGGTCGGCGGACGAGTCGCTGCGACAGAGCTGGACGAGGCGTTGACATGGCGGAGCTGATGGCCTGGACGAGGGTGGTAATCCTTCGGATGCTAAGAAGCCCCGTTCGGCTGCCGCAGACCTTAAATACCATGCGTGAGATGAGTCAGCAATACCGTACCCCCAACACTCCTCTAAGCCTGCGCAAGAGAAGCGCTGATGAAAGAAATAGATCAGGGTACTACACTACTATCTAAGTACTATGACCTACGGGACTGTTACAGTGGTGACGCAAAAATGGTGCCGACGTAGAGAACGAATTTTATTCAAAATTAGGTTGTGAAATAATCCCAGTATACAGCTTCATATCAATTTAAGAAACGAAGACAGTGTTGCGAAATTGCCGCGAAACTGGCGCGAAACCAGTGCCATTTTGGTGGGAGTCTGAAGACCTATAGTTAAAGTTTGAACGAACGCGCAGATTTTTGAATTGTATAGACGAATAGTGACAATTTTTTCTTCCGTCACAAGAAAGTTGCGGTAGTGATCTCATTTTCAGCTTCTAGTGGATCCACACGCACCCGCTCAGTGTCGAACTAACCAGGTTGTGCAGGATATTCCGGCGTTTGGCGCAGATTTCGGGTGTGAAATGGGACAGAACATGTTCCCCAAACCCGATACCCGATGTAAGGTTTGGACGGCATCCTGAATGCATCATCATTTTTGAGACTATATTTTTGCTGTGGAATAAAGTTATCACCAGAATAAGGTAAAGAGTTGAAGTAGTGACGATGTGGCCCATCTTGAGCGCTCGATAGGCTCTTGTCGCACCAACTGTTACCACTTCTCTACAGCCCAACCACTGCAGGTTCGCCAGGTGACTAACCGACTACTTGAGGCCAAGCGTGCTCTTTTTTGAGAGCTTTGGATGCACTAGAGGGTGACACTGGTATGAAAAAAGTGGATTGATCTACAGGAAAACCGAAACTTACCATCCGGATGGCAACAAAAGGCGTGGCCGCGAAAGTAGCGAGGGTTAGACGAGAGATAGGCAGAGACCTATGCATGGAATACGCAGCCACGCCTCTTGCTGCTCTTATAGTTAGATGTACATTGAACATGCATACAAGTGTAACTCTGTACGTTCTCCGATCTCGTGCTGGTCACAGGCTACGATGAAAACATGTATTCACAGAGTAATAACAAATCAAATACTCACAGAATGATGAGATCATTATAAAGACATTTCAATGAATGGATACAAGGACGTGAAATATTGACTTGGACCCAATTCCTCTGAGGGTTACAATTATTGATAAATCACAGCAGTAATGATGGCCACGAACACACTACAGTGATAACGCGATGAAATGTCTCTACTTTTACAATAGTGACCACAATTTGTTGGCAGCTCGCCATCCCGTAAGGCAGCGTCGCCAGATCGATCGCGCATGCTTTCGACTGTGAAAGCGTGCTCGAACGATTGCGTGGAACGCGCGACCGAAACGTTGATGGCGCAAAGTCTGAACGCTGCCTAATCTTCAACTACGAGAAGCGCAAATAATTAGTTTCTAAAGCTCTATGGGACTACAGATTCAGATGAATATTGGGATTAAGGGCACTAGGAATCGGTTAAGTAGCTGAAAATTAACTGGTATGGTAGCAATCTGCCTTTATGGTGGGAGCTAACGCTTGCACTGCTGAGCGTCGGAACAGCAATGCAAGCGGTGGGAGATTGGCACTGTCTGACGATGTTTGAGAGACAGAGAGTAGAGACAGAGTTTGACTTTTCGATCATGGCTGACTCACACTAAAGCAGCGTTCAGACTCCGCGGTAACGCGCGGCAACACGAAATAGCGCTGCAATGCCACGAAACGTTATCGATCGGCGGCAGCCGCAACTTTCGAGAGAAGGAATTAGAGGCAGACTGAACGGCCAGGCAGGCAACTCGCACTCTCCTCTTCTTCCATATTCTCTCAAAACACCAGCAGCCAGCGTCTAATGACAACTGTCGTTCCCTGTTGCATGGGAGCGCTATTGTGATGGCATGGTGGACGTGCGTCATTGCGAATTCTGAACGCTGCCTAAGATCGTTCGCTCGGCGTAAGTGCGAGCTCATCACCACATTTGAAT